CATAAAAGTGTTCAAATAAGAAATCTAAATCAGCTTTATCAGAGTTAGAAGACTCAGGTTGATCAGCTTTCCGTGAAGTGTTAATTATAAGTCCGGGTCCTGAACTGAATTGTTCAGAAGCCACATCAATGACTTCATCAAAAGATATGTTCATGTTTTCATTGATGATTTTGGTCCATTTATTGTAGACCCTGTATGCAGCGGATGTATTCGAGTGTCCAACAAAAACTGCTTCATCAGCTTTAGCAGCGAACTTCCCTCTGTCCTCTTTGTCATTTAGAATGAAACATCTATAACCAAAAACTCGAAAGAAATTGATATTAGGTATTCTTTTATTTATTATTTCATACGAAGTTTTACCAAACCTTTTGTTTACCAAACCTTTTGTTTACAAGGGTAAGCAACCGGCTGAAGAAGAAAGTCGTGCACCAACACCACCGCTTGCACCCCGAACTCAAGCAGAACCGAACTATTCGGTGGATGATTTGAAGTCCATGCTATATGCCAAGATGATATCCAAACCAAACATGGACTTAACAGATGTAGATTTACTCGACATTCTTAGATAATCATTGGAGGATTCACATACAGTTAGAGCCTCAGAGTTTTCCAACTTCCAAAGTGTTGTAGTTTCCAGCTTGTCAAAACTTGGTTCTACAATAGTACCTCTATCCAATCCATTGCTAACTTGCAAAATTTTATTGATTTGTTGTTTGAACATGTTTCATGTTCAGAGAATACTTGTCGAGTTCAAGCCACTTCTCTTAAAAGAAGACATGACGATCAAGACGATCCTAATCACCACAAGGGGGAAAAGAAGAAGAAACAGAAAGTGGTTGAGTCTTCGAGGGGTAAGGAAGTGATGCTATCTGTAAGTGAATATTCTGAAGAGCTTAATGATCAAAGTCCTATTCAAGCTGGTGAAAGTGAAAGGACTACAGGCTTGGAAATGGTAGTTTCCATAGACCCACAGATCGAGCCAATGGTTGAAAAGCCGACGGTTTCCATAGTATAAACAAGGATGCTACTGGGACTATCAGCAAACGTTGGTTTCAATGAAATGTTTTCTAAAGATATTGGTGGAGTTCAGGACTACGGTGTTGAAACCTAAGTTGGAGCTGCTGAATCTGATGAATTTTTATTTGACTTTGAAGCTGATATGGATGAAAATGAATCCAGCTTTCCACTTCAGTCCGAGCTTAAAGAAGAACCTAAATGAACCACCAAGCATTCTTGATACATCTTCCATTCTGCAGACTTCAATTGTTCAAGCTTCTAGGAAATATATACCATCTGCTATAAAGATAAATACTCCAGGGTTGGACAGAGCAAGAGTCAATGGCTATCCTCTATTTATGACATCAATGACTATCCATTGGTTATGATTCTAGAATATCCAGAGTTTGGTGTGATCTATGAAAACTCCGAGAAAGCTAAAAGGTTTTTAATGTTCAGTGAACTAAACAAGTACTGTGATGGGACTATAATGATAATGAGGAAGGAACTTGAAAGCAGAAAAGCTCAAGATGATAAAGCTATAAGATCTGACAGATTAAGTCTGAGAGAAAGGTTCCTGCTGATCAGTGCTCTGGAGTTACTTGATGAGAGGATTCAATATTGGAATGCTATCAGAAGATGTGATACAAATTTGGGCCTTCGAAGTCAAAATTTACTATGTCTCGGGCTTGAATCCAAAGGGGGAGAATGTTGGGTTCAAGTTATTGCACTTAATGTTGTATTCATGCTTGTGTTTCTCCATTGTAATTTTCTTTGTAATTACGTAGTATAAATAGTTTTCTTTCGAATCTTTGTGTTCTTCTTGATTCATTGTAATTGACACTTAGAAGATCAATACTATAATCATTGGAAATTCTCTCTGTGTTCATCTTTCTGTTCTTACTGCTTCTACCATTGTTCTTGATTTCATATTAGATTGATTAATGTTTCTACGAATAACATATTCTGTTTGAAATGAGAATTGTGAAACATCTTGATTTTCTATGAATTTAGTTTAATTGAATTGTAAGTCTTTCGCTTTATTATCGATGTTACGTATTACTATTTCAAATTTATATTATAATCTATTCACTAAGCCCCGTGCTCAGCCATGTTCTTGTTTTCTGACACGACAGGTTCCAAGTGATACGATAGGGATGGGACTTGAGATCGAGCGTTTGAATTTTGGAGTTTGTAAACTCGTTTGTAGATGTATAATATTCTAAGCTTATAAATAGTTTCTAGAATATAATATTTTGGGTTGTAAAGGATACTTTAAAAGTTATAATCTATGTTTGGAGTTTATTAGTAGCTCTATAATGTTTTTCTTTGAACTAAGGCCCGTTAGTGACACCGCCCATTGCGGACCACGTGGACGGGAGATGTTACAAATGTTGTATCAAAGCATAGGTTTTGACTTGTATGTTAAGATTGACATGTGAGGAATGGGTAGATATAAGAACAAGTATATTAGACTCTAATTCTAACTACCATTTTTCTGATCCATAACTGTTTTGAATTTTGATCATCATGTTGTTCTATTTTAGAATGTTGAGACATGGTTGTCCATCCAAATCCAGAACTCTACCCGACGGTAACCCAATACCCAATCCAATGGGGGTGGAAGTGAGCCCAATATTGCTGATGTGGTCCATCAAACCATGTCAAGTATGATGCCTACATATCTCCAGCAGGCCATCTAGGATATGCAACAATCAACACATAATCTTCCTTCGAACCCAAATCCTGGTCCTCCAACAAATACTGGAAATCCTGGATCTAGTTTTGTTAACCCAATTGGAGAAATATATATATGGCTTGAAAGGTTTAAAAACAAAAACCTCAGTCCTTTTCAATTGCCATAGATTCTGTGGATGCTGAACACTGAATGTGACACATCAAAAAGATTTTCAATGTCTTAGATATCCCAGATCAATACAAGGTCCGCTTGGGTGCTTATATGTTCGAGAAGAAAGCCAATAACTGGTGGGAAACTTGTGTCCAAACAGACCCATATGTTAAAGACTTGTCTAGAGATAGTTTCAAGAAGTTTTTCTTCAAGCAATATTTTATGGTGACAGATTACGAAGCCGACTACATGGCACATTTTCTTAAATTTTCTCGTTTGGTAGGAAACAACGTAGGCACTCAAGTTCAACAAGATGACAAACTTAGATGGACTCTTAACTCAAGGTATAAGGATCATCTCTTGAATCATCCTTTCAATATCGTTACTGAAGTGGCCGACGTAGCAAAGAATATTGATCGGTTACAACAACAATAGTTAACTTCATGCGTTGACAATAAGAGACGTGCACCTGAATCTTTCAGAAGAAACCCTCGTTTTGTATAGTCAAAGTCAAGCATTGACACACATGAAATCTCAAGTCAATTCACGCCATGACTTCTAGAGTTGTCTAGAAGTGAGAGTCAAAATGTTTCTAGCCTTGTTTATATTTGTGATCGATGCAATATTTGACATCGACGGGTCCGTGCCTAAAGATGACATGTTCTTGTTTCAATTGTCGAGAACAAGTTCACATGACCAAAGATTTCCCTAAAGCTCAGACTTGAACTAAGAAAGGGAAAGGAAAACAACCAAGTACTAATGGACAATTCTTTGTATTACCTGGCAATAAATCTCAAGCGGGTATGATTTTTTTGGGTCATATTAAATTAATTGATTTATTTTTTTATGCTTTGTTTGATACCGGTGCGACACCTTTTGTTCTTGCTGAATAGAATCCCCGTTAAAACCTTATGAGCAAACCACCGAATTTCCAGTGGTAATATGTACCCCAATGGGTGGTTCAATCTGTGTGCTAACTCGTTTATCCAACTGTTCGTTTCTTATTGAGGATTGCATATGTGAGGTCAAACTGCTTCCAATCCATATGTCCTACTTTGATTTAATATTAGGTATGGATTGGTTGTCACGTCACTGACAACTATAGACGATAACGCCAAACAAATACATGTTTGGGGATATAGACAACCCAGAGGAAATCTTCTAGGAGGTACTCCAAAAGAAGATGTTAGTGTTGTAGTCTCTATTACTATGAAACAATATATGTGGCAAATAAATGAAAGTTTTCTTGCTGCTCTACAAGATCCCGAACTGGTATTTCCTACTTCTGCATCCATACCTGTTGTTTCTGAATATCTTGATGTGTTTCCCAATGATTTACCAGGTATACCACAAGTAAGGAAGTCGAATTTACTATCGATCTAGTCCTGGGAGGTTCTCTTATTTCCAAGGCTCCCTATTGAATGACTCCAACAGAAATGAAGGAACTTAAAACTCAACTTGATGATCTATTGAAGAAAGGTTTCATTCGGCCCAGTGTTTCACCCTGGGGAGCTTCGGTTCTCTTCGTTAAAAAGAAAGATGGTATGGTACGTCTTTGTGTCGATTATCGGGAACTTAATAAAGTAACGATCCGTGACAAGTATCTGCTGCCGAGAATCGACAATCTATTCGATCAATTACAAGGGTATGGTAATTTTTCAAAATTGATCTTCGGTCCGGGTACCATCAACTTCGTATCCGAGATTGTGATATTCAAAAAACCACATTCAGAATTCACTATGGGCACTACGAAGTTTTAGTAATGCCTTTCAGGTTAACTAATGCTCCAACAGTCTTTATGGATCTTATGAATCAGGTTTTCAAAGATTATCTCGACGAATTTGTTATCGTGTTTATTGATGACATCTTGATCTACTCGAAGTCAAGAAAGAAACATGATCAACATCTTTAAGTTGTTTTAGAGATTCTTCGGATAAAAAAGTTATACACAAAAGTCTCCAAATGTGAATTCTAGCTCAATCAAGTGTCTTTCCTCGAGCACGTAATCTCCACCGAAGGTGTCAAAGTCAATCTAGCAAAAATTGAAACCATAACTAATTGGTCACGTCCTCCGAACGTATATGAAGTTCATGGTTTTCTGGGTCTGCCGCCTAGTTATTACAAACGATTCATTGAAGTTTTCTCTAAAATATCTATGCCGTTGACTCGATTACTCTGGAAAGCAGTCAATTTCAATTGGGGCCCCGGACAAGAATGTAGTCTTGAGGAACTGAAGCATCAATTGGTTACAGCATCTATTCTTGTATTGTCGTCTGACACTGGTAGGTTTCAAGTCTATGATGCTTCAAAGAAAGGTCTCGATTGCGTTCTTATGCAAAACGTAAAAGTGATCGCATATGCTTCTCGTCAATTAAAGCCTTATGAGGTCAATTATCCGACTCACGACCTCGAATTGGCTACGGTCATCTTCGCACTCAAGATTTGGCGTCATTATTTGTATGGTGAGACCTGTGAAGTTTTCACAGACCATAAAAGCCTCAAATACATCTTTACTCAAAAAGTGTTAAATATACACCAACGGTGATGGCTCGAATTTCTAAAAAATTACAATGTTCAGATACAATATCATCCAAACAAAGCCAATGTAGTTGCAGACGCCTTAAGCCATAAAACTATAGAACAAGTTTCTTTTTTAATTGTTCTTATAGAGTTGTCTTTGGAGATCAAATGGTTCAGACTAGAAATCTATCAGAGTTCGCAAACAAAAATTCTATCTAATCTAATGGTAGAACCAACTCTGATCTCTCGTATCAAAGAAGCACAACAAGATGATAATGAATTATGGGCAAAGTTCCAGAAAGCACAAGAGAATTCTAGTTCAGAGTTCAGAATCATTGATAATCACGTGTTGTGGTTTTGGGGTCGTCTTTATGTTCCAGATAATTCGGAGCTTAGAGATCTAATTCTGATCGAAGCTCATAACTCTATGTTTTCAGTTCATCCTAGCACAACAAAAATGTATCTTGATTTGAGGAACTATTTATGGTGTATTGGAATGAAGGATGATATTGCCGACTTTGTAGCTCATTGTCTCACATGTCAACAAGTTAAAATTGAACATCAACATCTGGGTGGTGTTCTCCAATCGCTGAACATTCAGGTTTGGAAATAAGAGCACACAACTATGGATTTCATAATCGGATTACCCCGTACAACCTTGGAACATGATGCCATTTGGGTAGTGGTTGACCGACTAACAAAATCATTTCATTTTCTTCTTGTCAGACAAACTTGGTCAATTGATAAGCTGACAAAAATTTTCCAACTTGAGATTGTGCGCCTTCATGACTCACCTATATCGATTACCTCCTATCGAGACCCACGTTTTACATCTCGATTTTGGGAAGGTTTACATAAAGCTTGGGGCACAAGTTTGAATTTAAGTACAACCTTTCATTCGCAAACTGATGTGTAATATGAACGTAAAATTCAAACATTGGAGGATATGCTCCGAGCATGTGTGTTGGAATGGCATGGAAGTTGGGATAACTACTTGTACCTAATCGAGTTCTCCTATAATAATAGTTGGCAGTCAGCATGGCCACGTATGAAGCACTTTATGGTCAAAGATGTCAACATCGACTTGTTGGAATGCATTTGGAGAACGTGTTCTTAAAGGCCTAGAATTGGTACAAGTCACTATCGAGAAGGTCGAAATTGCGCTTCAGATGATGAAAGAGGCTCAGGCTCGTCAAAAGAGCTACGACGACAAGCGACGACGACCTATCGAGTTCAAATCGGGTGATAAAGTCTTCTTGATGGTTTACCTGACTCGTGGTATTAAACGTTTCAATCTCAAAGGGAAGCTCAGCCCGAGATATATTGGTCCTTTTGAAATTCTGGAAAGGGTTGGAGCTGTGGCCTACAGATTAGCTATACCGCCACAATTGTCCCATGTACATAATGTGTTTCATGTCTCTTCATTTCGAGGTTACAATTATCATCCCCTGCACGTCATTGAATATCCCTTGGAGCACATAGAGCATGATTATCTTATCGCGAGGAGCCTCAGGAAAATCTTGATCGTCATGAGAGAGGTACACGAAAGAGAGTGATCCCTTTTGTAAAAGTTTTTAGGAAGAATCACTCGGAACGTGAGACGACGTGGGAAATCGAAGAGCATCTGCGGCGGGACTACCCAGAATTCCTAAACTGATGTAAGTTTCCTATCTCTAAATTTGACTTCAAGAACGAAGTCTCCTTTTCGAAGGGGGGGGGGGAATTGTAAGTCCCTGTTAATGTGTTCATCGCCTCATTATTCTCTCTCTCTAAAAAACTCTCGTCTTCTCTCTAAATTTCACGTCAAATTACTAAAGGAATTGAAGTAACAGTTATATATTTCGAATCCACTCTCCGAATTCTTTCTAAAGGTAGAAATTTCTTTCACTTTTACTAAGGTGTTTATGTTTGCATTTTTTAGGCCGATTTATAAATTGTGTTTATGTCTAAGTTTACGGATTGATATTGTTAAAAATATGATACTTTTCATGTTTATAATGTTAGGATTGGTTAAAATTGATGTACAAATTAAAAGTGTAAAGTATGGAATCAATATGATTAGATTTAATGTATATAATTAACCGCACACCAATTGTTCGATTAAATGTCGAAGAGAGTAAAATTGCATGATTAAGCTTAGGTTAGCGACCATTCGATTTATTTTATTGTTTAGTATATTGAAGTATGTTTAGAGCCTATAAATATAGAGAATCAGTTGGATCATAAAAGTTAGTTGGGAAATTGTGAAATCGGATTTTACCGACTGTGCAGAAATGTACTTTGATAGTGTATAAATCGCAAACTATAATTCGAAATAAGCTCATATTTTTCAGTTAGAAATCCCTTACTGTATATTAAAACTTTCATGAGGGGTCAAAAATCTAGTTATGACTCTAAGTGGATCGAAACAGTGTGTTTTCGAGGTTGTTTGCACTGTGGATAATCCAAATGAGGTGATTCCAGAACTGGTAGATCCATCATATACCATACTACAACTTGTATTTAGATAGTATCTTCTGTATTGACCTCTAAGTGGGGTAAAAATGCTCCCGAAAAAGAGGGATAGAAGCTGTGAAAAGCCGGGAACGGAATTATATAAAACTAATTTTTGTATATGAGTTCTAAATGCATATCTTGATGTCACATTTAAAGTTAAGTTATTTTTAAACATGTAGAACCTAAATAACTTATTAGTAGAATTAGGGTATGGTTTTACATCGTTTATAAACATGTAGAACCTAAGATATGGATGTCCCACTTGATTAGTCTATTGAATTGTACGTTTGAGTCTTTCAAGTTTATTAAACTTATTCTCATATTTTGAAGTAGTTTTGAACTTTTTGAAGTACTTTGAATCTTGACTTTTATGAAATACCCGGGTAATGGCACATGTTTAGTTTTATTGGTTTTCAACATCACCCAATTGATGGGCACATTAGTTGGGATGCCTTCTATGGCGGTTTTGTAGTCATGGCGTCTTGCAGGTGAACTCGGTTCATAGGGTTAGCACCAATAGTGGCTTACATGAACCCACCGTGTGCACTTGGTCGATTTTATTGGCTCCAGGGCGGATGGACCAATCCTAGGATTACCCACCATGCGACCGTGGTTATATTCACGGGGGACTCGGGGTGTGTGCCCACATGCCGACCTAATAGTTCATGTAGTTTGGCCACCCCATGAACATTACAAGAATTGACATATTTTATTTATATTATGTTTGAAATGAGAATTGTGAAATGTCTTGATTTTCTATGAATTCAGTTTAGGTGAACTGTAAGTCTTCTGTCTTATAATCGATGTTACGTATTATTATTTCAAGTTTATATTATAATCTATTCACTGAGCCCCGTGCTCAGTCGTGTTCTTGTTTTCTGACACGACATGTTTCAAGTGATACCGATAGGGACGACACTTGAGATCGAGCGTTTGACTTTTGGACTTTGTAAACTCGTTTATAGATGTATAATATTCTAAGCTTATACATAGTTGCTAAAATATAATATTTTGGGTTGTAAAAAATCATGCTTTAAAAGTTATAATCTATGTTTATAGTTTATTAGTAGCTCTATAATGTTTGTCTTTGAACTATGTCCGGTTAGTGACACTGCCCATTCCAGACCACGTGGACGAGAGATGTTACACTTAGTTTCAAAACACGCAAACGTACGATTATGAGATTGTTTTTGCACGAAGCTATTGCCATTATTATTTGGTTTTTCATTACGGTTTTCACTTTAATAGACGACTACAAAAGGGATAAGCCACGTGTTCGATACTCTTTGCCAAATATGGATTGAGCTTCAATATTGCATAGATATGTTTATGAGAGTGACAATATATGCATATCATGACTTCGGATGAGCAGAAGGTGTTTCAAAAAGTTATGTGATATGTTGAAAACATTAGGAGGATTACAAGAAAGTAGGCATATGGGTATTGATGAATAAGTTGTCATTTTCCTTCATGTTATGGCTCATAATGTTAAAAATTCGAGTCATCACATGTCTTTTTCATCGTTCAGGAGAAACAATCAGTAAACTATTTACTCGAGTTTGCAACGCGGTGATCAGATTGCATTCACATTTGCTTAAAAAACTCGAACCCGTTCTAGAGGATATTACTGATGGACGATGGAAGTGGTTCAAGGTGTATGGAATTTCTAATTTTTTGGTATTCACGTGTTAGTAACTTAAGTTGTGTAATGACCATTTTTATTTTCTTGGTTTTAGAATTGTGTAGGTTTTTTAGATGGAACATACATAAGGTGCTTAGTGCCACTCGAGGAGAGAATGAAAATGCCACAAACTTGTTAAGGGTCTGTTCACAAGATATGCAATTAACTTATGTGTTACCCGGATGGGAAGGGTCGGCGGCTGATGGTAGAGTGCTTCGAGTCACTCGTCTTAGGCCATATGAATTAAAGGTAACAAGGCCATATTATTACTTGGTAGATGTTGAATACACAAATGGTGAGGGTTTACTCGCCCCATATAGAGGTTAAAGATATCACTTAAATGATTGACGGGATGAATACCAACCCATGACACCAAAAGAACTTTTTAACAAGAGAAATTCCTCTGCAAAGAAATGTCATAGAACGATGTTTTGGCATTTTGAAGGCAAGATGGGGAATTTTAAAAGATAACTCGTACTATCACGCTGAAGTGAAAAACAAGATCATAATGGCATGTTGTTTACTTCATAATCATATCAGACGAGAAATGTCAAATGATTCGTTTGAGAATGATGGGTTGGACGAAACAACCGAAGACGATGGAGACCAAGATGCGTTGATGTTTACATGTTTGGCATAACATATATTTGAGGCTTGGAATGCTACACATTGAACTTTATGATTTGTAATGCTAGAAGTTCATTTTATGGTATGTAATGAATTTGATACCTATATTACATACAGTTATGATTTGTAATGCTAAAACTTGATTTTTATGATTTGCATATTGATGTTTACATGTTATTTCTTTATTATTTAATTCATTTAACAATAAGTATGGTGCATCGAAGTCATAATAGAAACTATCGAAATTGGACAACTATTGAAGATGCGAAACTTGTGGAGGCTTTGGTTAACATGGTTAATACCGGAAAATTTAAAGCTGATAACGACTTTGAATGTGGTTATTTACAATATCTCGAACGAGTGTTTAAAAAATCATTTCCTGATTATGGTATATTGCATAAACTGCACATTGAGTCATGAATTAAAACAATGAAAAAGGACTGGCAAGTTTTCCATGACATGGTGAATAGGAAGAATACGAGTGGGTTTGGCTATGATAGTATGAAACAATGTGTAATAGTTGAATCACCAGTTTGTGAGTCTCACCTGAAGGTACCCATTTTATTTTTCATGCTATATTTGTAGTTATTATTTGATATCTTACTAATTAATTTTTATGGCATGAAATAGGCATATAAAGATGCGGCAAAATGGAAAACAATACATTCCCACATTTTGAAGATTTGCCTATTGTTTTTGGAAAGGATAGAGCTCAAGGAAATAGAGTTAGGGATGTTGTTGAGATGGAGGAGCAAGTGAATCTAGAAGAACAAGAACAACAATCAGAAGACACGGAAAGTAGCCATAAT